GTACTGAACCAGGGGTGGCTGGGGAAGAACTTCTGCAGGTTTTTTTGGGTGTCCAGGAGACAGAGGTGGAGGGAAGGACCAGGATAGAGAAAGGACTGTGCCCCCCAACCCCATAGACTTAGAGGCATCTTCTTCACATGGAAGCAAGATGGAGTGAGGGGAAATGCCAGATGCTTATAAAACCATCAGATCTCATGAGAACTCACTCACTATCAAGAGAACAGCATGGAGGAAACCACCCTCATGATCTGATTACCTCCACCTGGTCCCGCCTTTGACACATGAGGATTATAGTGATTACAATTCGAGGTGAGATTGGGACACAGAGACAAACCATATCAAGCACCCATGCCATCGTCATCATCACCATCATCCTAACTATGACTGCCACCACCACCACCATCACCAACTGCCACCACCAACTACCACCACCACATCACCCACACTGATATCACTATCACCATGATCACCATTATCACCACCACAATCACTACCATTGACACTACCACCATCTCCAACATTATCACATTATCAAAACCACCATTGCCACCACCAGGATCATCACCCCCACCACCATCATGACCATCAGCACCATCATCATACCACACCATCAACAACACCAGTACAATCATCACCGTCACCACCATCACCAGCATCAACGCCATCACCAACACCACCATCATCACCACCACCACAATCATTAACACTATCATCACCACAATAAACACCACCATCAACACACCACAACCACTATCATCACCACCATCATCATCATACTCATTGCCATCATCACCCTCATCATCGCCATCATCACCCTCATCATCACCACCACCACCATCAGCAGCAGCACTGACACAACCATCACCACTACCATCATCACCATGACCACAACCACCAGCATCACCAGTGACTATAGTCACCACCACCATGATCATCACTACCACCATAAAAACCAACACCATCATAGCCACCACTACCCCCATCACCATCCCCACAATCATCATCACCATCACCACCACCACCAACTACCACCACCACCGTTACTACCACCTCCATCATCATCACCACCACTAACATCACCATCACCACCACCACCAACTACCACCACCACCGTTACTACCACCTCCATCATCATCACCACCACTAACATCACCATCACCACCACCACCACCAGTACCAACACTATCACCACCACCATCATCATCACCACCACAATCATTATCACCACCACCATCACTTTCACTGTCATCACTATCACCACCACCATGACTACCATCATCATCATCACCATGGTTATTACCACCACCATCACCATCACCAACAACACCAATACCAGCACCACCAACATCATGACCACCATCACTACCACCACCATGATCAATACTACCACTACAATAACCACCACTATCACCACCATTATCCCAGCCACAATCATCATCACCACCACCATCGCCTCCACCAGCACCACCATGATCATCACTACTATCACCACCACCAAAACCACCACTGCTATCATTACCACCACCATTACCACCACCAGCACCACCACCAGCACGATCACCACCATCATCATCACACCAACATTACCATCATTACCTACATCATCATCATCCCTTCTGCCACCCTCATCACCATCCCCACAACCATCACCACCACCATAATCATCACCACCATCACCACTACCACCGTGATTATCATTACCACCGCTTCCGTCATCACCATCAGTGCCATTATCATCACCACCATCATCAGCACCGTCACAACCATCACCACATCATTACCACCACCACCACTACACTATAGTCACACAACTATAATTGCCACCACCAGCACCATCACCACCACCATCACCATCACCAGAATCACCACCACTATGATCATCACCAGCACCAAAACCACCACCGCCCCCACCATCATCACCAGTATCGCCACCATCACCACCATTGTCACCACCACCACCATTATCACCACCACTGCCATCATTATCATGACCATCACCACCATTGTCACCACCACCACCATTATCTGCCATCATTATCATGACCATCACCACCATTGTCACCACCACCACCATTATCACCACCACTGCCATCATTATCACGACCATCACCACCATTGTCACCACCACCACCATTATCACCACCACTGCCATCATTATCACGACCATCACAATCATCACCACTGCCATTATCACCATTACCAACATGAACACAACCATCACAACCACCACCACTATCAAACACCACCATCATTTCCACCATCACCACCACCATCACCACCACAACCATCATCACCACCACAATCACCACCATCATAATCACCACCACTACCAGCATTACCACCACCATGAATACCATCATCACAACCACCATCTTTACCTCCACCACCACCATCACCATCATTACCATAATCATTGTCATCACTATCATCACCACCACCACAATCATCACCATCATCACCAGACTTATCAGTAATACCACCATCACCATCACCACCAGCATCATCAACACCACCAGCAGCATCATCACCACCACCACAAACACCACCATCACCAAAACCACCACCATCACAACTACCACCATCACCATTATGTCCACCATCACCACCACCATCATCATAATCATTGTCATTATCACCACAACCACTGCCACCATCACAACCAACATGAACACCACTGTCACTTCCACACTATCATCACCACCACCGCTACCACCTCCACCATCATCCCACACACCACCATCACCACCACTATGATAATTATCACCACCACCACCACCACACCACCATGTTCACCACCACCATCAACTCCACCACCACTACTTCACCATCACCATAATCACCTCCATGACCATCATCACCACACCATCCTCACCACCCCTCCACCAGCATCACAAACACCACCATTAGGACCACCACCACAGTCATTACCACCACCACCATCATGACCATCACTATCATCACCACCACCACCACTATCACAACTATTATAACCACCACCACCACCAAAATGTTCACCACCATCATCACCACCACCTTCACCACCCACCACCATCATCAACATCATCATCATCACCTTTATCAGCACTAATACTATCAACAACAACACCACAGTCACTACCACCACCACTGCCATTTGCACCACTATCATCGTCATCTTTGTCATCATTCCCACCACCATCGCCATCCCTATCATCGCCACCCTCATCAACAGTAAGGCCATCACCTCCCCCACTACCCTCATGCCCACCACCACCATCACCACCACACTCATCAGTAACACCACCATCATCACTACAACCACAATCACCACCACCATCACAACCACTGCCACCATCATCACAAACACTACCATCAGCACGGTCCCTATGATCATTGTCACCACCACCATCATGACCATCAATATCATCATCACCACCACCACCACCATCACCACCACCACCCTGACTACTGCCACCATCATCACCACCACCACCAACACCTTCACCTATTACCACCACTGCCTCAGATTCTGCCTGTGGTCATTTGGCGCCCTCTGGTGGCTGAAAGGCCAGACTAGCGAGGCCACCAGGGTCCCAGAGAGCAAGTCCCAGCTACTGTCCCCCACCATTCCTGGAGTTTATGGTTGAGGGGCCCTGGACAGGGGGTCCTTGGAGTCTCTTTTGTGAAGGGGCACACAGAGGTATCCCCCAGGCTCTGTTCTCCTCATGTGTTACCTGCAGCCTCCCAGAAGCCAGGCTACTAGAGTCCCTGTTTGACACTCCAAGGTACTGAGGCCCAGAGTGGCTAAGTAGCTCAACAGCTATGCAGGATCCAATCCCAGGACTGTGGGACTCCAGAGGCACACTCTGTCCCACTGGCACCCTGTCCTGACTCCAGATGCAGGGACAGTCCTCACAGAGCATCCCCGGTGCTGACCGGTGACTGGACACCACTCACAGCTGGCCCATGGCTGGGCAGCCTTTCCGGTACAGATGAGACACCATGGGGGCCGATGCCCCGTGGCCTCGCAGGGCCACAGGAGGGAGGAGGCAGTCCCTCTGGCTCCCTGTCCTCCATGGGACAGGTGGGCCCAGCACTCCAGATGACACGTGTGCTCTTGAGGCAGCTCCCGTTCCTACTTACTGTGGAAACTGAGGTTGGAGAGCCCTGTCCAATCACATTTCAGGGTGGATTTCAGCTGTGTTCAGTCCCGGGCCACCCCGCCAGACAGCACCAAAGGAGGCAACAGCAGCAATCTAAGTGGCCTAGAAGCCACGTCCACACAGGGTCTCCTCTCCCAGTCAAATTAGAGATGCCCCCAGGGCCTTGGTGCCAGTCACACCTGAGGAAGGCCAGCGCTTGGTGTCTGGGTGGCTTTGACAACAGCAGGCCTGTGGGCTCGGCCGTGCCGAGCAGGTCAGGTGGTGCCCTGTGTTGGTTCACGGCCAGCTCCCTGGGGCCGGCATTGGCTGCCCCGGCCAGAAGTTGTGGGCGGGGAAGAGGAGGAGGAGAGGCTTGAGAGCTGGGCCCACGGGCACACCCTGCAAGGTAGGCAGACGGCTCCACCCGCGCCTTGGCCAGCAGCCGCGTGTCAGGATACTGGGGAGAAGGCAGGCAGGTAGGGACCCTCACACCGCTGCCAGCCCAGGTGGGGAGAAGGGGCAGGATTGTAACCCCTCCTCCCGGGCGGGAAGGGCAGGTGGGCACGAGTGGAGTGAGGACCAGGACTGTGCGGCTTTGGCCACACCCTGCCTCTTGCCTCAGTTTCCTTATCTTTAGCAGGGAGGATCCCCGCTTCCCTGGGCTGTGGAGGGCCGGCCCCACTGTGGGTGAGGTGGGGCATTCTGGAAGGGGCTGCCCAGTGCTGGAAGATGATCTGGGCAGGAGGGCCAGCCCCACGGGCTCTGGATCTGAGACTTCAGGGACAGTGTCTGGCCGGCAGCCTGCAAAGGCAGGTGTGGCTCAGAAGCCGAGGGTGAGGGGAGTGGGGCAGTGGGAGGGGTCTGGGGTCACCAGGTCACTACTGTGTCCTCTCGCCACCACTTCCCTGAGCCATGTCGTCCACTGCAGCCCAGGGAGATGTGGCATCCTCACAGGGAGGACACAGGGACACACATCTGACTCCCTGCCTGCTGCATGCAGGGACCGTTCTGGCACCTTCCCCTTGTGACTCGCCGTTCCCCCAAATCTCACAAATGAGACAGGCCCAGGGAGGCTGAGGGACCTGCCCGAAGTCACACAGCCTGGTGGGGATGAGCGGAGCTGGGAACCCAGGACCTGGCCATCCAGTCCTGTCCTGCACTGGTCCTGGGAGGCCAGGGAAGCCATGTTTGGCTCTGGCTGTCTCTGGGATGGCTGTGGCTACAGGTGCCCCACCGCCCTGACAGCCCCAGCACCTTCACTGCCCGAGGCGCTGCCTCAGTGTTGCCTCTTGGGAGTTCTGGGATGGGCTTCTGACCAGGGGTCACGAAGGCCCCTGGCTGTCCCCGGCTCCCTGCCCCACCCTGGGATGCACAGGGAGGGGTGCGGAAGACCTGGGCACCTGCTCATGCAAATCCCGGCTGTTTGCATTGCCTCCCTCTGGGCCCATTTGCCTGGTGCCCAGCACCTGCCCAAATGCCTCCTCAGCCCCTGGGCTGGCCGGTGGGTGTAGGGGGCGCCGAGCCTGGGTGTGGGGCAAGGGGTGGTTGCGGCCACCGGGAAGGTGAGGCTGCCCCATGCTGCTGCTGGGCTTCCCTGACCTCAGCTGCCGGGCGCCTAGCTCTGCCCCGTCCTCGGGAGGAAAGAGGTGCTGTGGGCCCTGGGAAGGGCCAGAGCTTGGGTTGTGGCTGCTTCCACCTCTAATGGCTGCTGCTCTTCCCCCCGGGGGGCTTGCACAGAGTCGGGGAGGCGCTGCTGAGCTCCAGGCTGAACGGTGCTCATGGGCGTCCTATCCCAGAACTTCCAAGAGGCAAAATTGAGGTTCACTGGAGAGGAATCCAAGGGTCAGGGAGCCCCGTAGGACCCCTCCCAAGGCCCAGGCCCCCATTAGCTTCCCCAGCAGGGATGAAGGGAAGAGAAGAGGGAGTCCCCCATCTACGGCCTAAGAGTCATTGGGAAGGTAAGGATAACAGTGTTGTCCAGCCCAGCCTCGTCCCCCAGGCTGAGGGTCATGGCCAAACCCCAACCCCTACACCCTGTGCTGGGGACAAGTCTGGCCATGCATCCCCAGCCGCAGGGCACATGTCCAGATGTAGCCAGGATTGACCCCAGCGGGTGGCCAGGTGTGGCAGGGCCTGGTGAGAGTGAAGTCCAGCCTGAGGACTCCCGCCCAGAGTGAGGACCCCCGCCCAGGGTGAGACTCCCTCCCAGAGTGAGGACCCACGCCCAGGGCTGCAAGCACGCATCCCACCTCACTGCGTGTTCCGTGTTAAGTGGTGTCCTCCCAGACGGGGTGACACTAATGGTGGGATACTGTCCACTGCGAAGCTTAGAATGTGACCTCATTTGGAAGTGGGGTCCTTGCACACTGGGGTAGGGCAGGCCTGGGCACTCAGTGCTGGCAGAGGAGACAGACAGGCGAGGCGGACCGCACGCCAACCAAGGCGGAGGCTGGAGCCACGCGGCCACAGCCAGGGACACCTGGCGCCTTGGGAACCTGGAAGGGGTGGGAGGGACCCACCCGAGAGCTTCCAGAGGGAGCACGGCCCTGCCGATGCCTGGATTTGGGATGTCTGGCCTCTAGAACTATGAGATCATCGTTTGTTGTTTTGAGCCCCCGAGGGTGTGGCCCTTTGTTTCAGCAGCCGTGGGACGCAACAGCAATGCCAAGCCTTGTCTCAGCCTCCAGCCCCCACCTAGGGCCTGGCCACAGACACGAGCTTCCAACACTGAAAACCGCCAAGCGTCTCCACCAGCGCGGGAGGCCGTATTCAAATACTGCCTCTCTGCGGTCTGCGGCTGGTTCGTGCTCTGCAGGCAGGAAGTGCGGGAGGATTTGCATTACCCTGCAGGGAAGGCTGAGGCCCACGTGGTGCTGACAGCATCAGGGCGTCTCTGCAGGCCTGGCTGGAGAAGGGGGCTGAGGTCCGTGAGTGGGTCCTGCCTGGGGCTGGCAGTCACCAGAAGTCGTGCCAGGCTTGACTTGGGCCTCGCACAGGGACCCTGGGCAGCCGTGACAGCAGCCTGAGCTGGGCATCTTAAAACAACGGCAATTGATTTTCTCATGGCTCTGGAGGCCACCAGCGCTAAGTCTTAAGTCAAGGTGTCGGCAGGGCCAAGCTCTTGAGGGGGATCCTCCCTGCCTCTTCCAGCTTCGGGGCTCCAGGTGTCCCTTGGCCTGTGGCTGCGTCCCCCAACCCCTGCCTCCACCTCCCCTGTGTCTTTCCCTGCTCATCTGTCTCTATGTCCAAATGTCCCCTTTTTATATCAGAACCTGGGAATCAGGGTTCCCCCTGCTCCAACATGGCCTCATCTTTACTTACATCTTAATCACATCTGCAACGGGCCTGTTTCCAAAGGTCGCATTCCCACGTACTGGGGTTTGGGGCTTGGACATATCTGTCTGGGGATGCAGTAACTGTGTTGGCTCCACAGGCCTAATGGGGAGGGCCTTGGCCTTAGCCTCTGCCCCAAAGCCAGCCCCCCACCAGGGGTCCCAGGACATACTCCCTCTCGTGCCTGAAGGTCCCCTCAACTCCTATGTCCCCTCCTGAGGTCACAGGTGGGCCCCTTTCTAGGAAATGAAAGGTTTTACAGAACGGTCCATTATCTTCTCACAAAGGGCCTCTGTGGTGGGCACAGCCCAGAGCGCCTGGGCACAGGGTGGGCACAGGATAACCAAGGGACAGCTCTGTGGGATCAGGAGCTGCCGGGTAATCCCAGGTTGGACAGGGTAGTGTGACTGGGGGCCCAGGGAGACCTCTGCCCGGTGGCCTGTGACCTGGCGCATGGTTCCAGGAGGGCAGACAGCGGAGCAGGTGCCCTCTGCCTGCCAGGGCTTGTCCTCAGACACTCAGCTTCCAATATTGAGTTTTCAGACAAGCAATCGGAAGGAGGTGGGGCCAAGCCAGGCCGAGATCAGCCAGACTGGGGCGGCTGAGAGATGAGGCCGTGGGCAGGGATGGAGCCAGGACACTGAGGGGACAGCCCCGATCCTTGGATCCCTGCCACATAGAGAGGGGCTGAGATGCCCGACCTCACCGGGCAGCTGGGAGACGTGAGCCCCGTGAGGGTTGAGGTGCACCAGGCCTCTTCTCCCCTGATCTGGGAGCGCTGAGGGAAGAGCTCTGCCGCTGATGCTGTGTGGGCCTGGGTGAGGCCTCCCCTCTGTGTGTCCTGGACCTCCTGGGCAAGGAAGGTGGTCCCTTGTCCACACCGCCTCCTGCACCTGAGCTGAGGGCACCTGCCTCACCTTCTCACCTCTGCTCAGGTGCACCCAGGGGCTCTGCATCCCTGTCCTGGGAGTGGGTGGGCTGTGTGGCCAGGGGGCTGCAAGGCCTCTGCTGAGTCTTCCAGAGTTTCCAGGTCATCCCCGCAAAAGGCCTCTGGAGAATCGTCTGCAGGTGTGGCTGACCTGAGGTGCCCAGAGTGGGGTGAGTAGAGGAACCAGGAGCCAGTGGCAGAGCCCCACACATCCCATCCTCACCTGGAAAGGAGCTTGGTTGGGGCGGTGCTACAGCAAGAGACAGAGCTGCAGGGGGTCGCTGGGCAGGGCCCGTCTGGAGAGAGATTGGTTGGGGCAGAGATGCTTGGGGCAGTCCCCAGGTCTCCTTGTGCTTGTCGGCTGGAGAGGGGCTTCCTAGGGGAAGGCAGCACCCACCCCCTGAGGGGAGGGAGGCGGGGATGGGCATTCCCAGCCCTCAAGGGCCGGGGTATCCCTGCATCTCTAGAGGCCGTCATGCAGGATGTCCAAGGCCCCCGTACCGGAAGCCCCGGGGATGCTGAAGACCGGCAGGGGCTAGGCTTGCACAGGGGCGAGGTCGACTTTGGAGGGTCTGGGAAGAAGCGAGGCAAGGTAGGGGCAGTCCCCAGGCCTCGGGCGATGTCTGTGTTGACCTGGAACCCATGAGCCCCCATTTCCTTCCCTGGAAGCTGAGTGCCAGGGTCCTCCCCACCCCTGGGGTCTGCTCCCCGGGGGCCATATTCAGATCCCCAGACAAGCAGAGTTCCAGAGCTGGAAGGAGTGGCTCTGGCCAGCCTCCTACCTCCCTGTGATAACCGGGACCCCTGAGGTCCCCCCGAGAGATTCGGAGGTGCAAGGTTAGGTGCATCCAAAGCCCCACCTCTGACCAGTGCCCTCAGCTCACTGAGGAGGATGCCAGCCCAGAGAGGGGTCAGGACTCTTCAGGTCACACGGCAGGTCAAAGGAGGACTGGCTCTGTCCCAAAAGGGGTATTGGGGGCCACTCTCCTCCTGCTACCTGCCACCAGGAACCAGCACCTCCCCAGTGCCCCCTGTGTCCAGCCCCCTTGATGCCCAGAACCTCCCCAGTGCCCAGTGTCCCCTTGTGTCCAGCCCCCTTGATGCCCAACACCTCCTTAGTGCTGAGGGCCCCCCATGTCCAGCCCACAAATGCTCAGCACCTCCTCAGTGCCTCCTGTGTCCAGCCCACCCCAATGCCCAGCAGTTCCCATGCCCCGTGCCCCGAAAGCCCTGAGCTGCAGCCCCCGCCTTGCAGTTTGTACGGGTGCTGAGCGGAGTGGCCCCGTCTGTGCTCTTTGACCTGCTGCTTGCTGAGTGGCACCTGCCAGCCCCCAACCTGGTGGTGTCCCTTGTGGGCGAGGAGCAGCCTTTCGCCATGAAGTCCTGGCTGCGGGACGTACTGCGCAAGGGGCTGGTGAAGGTGGCTCAGAGCACAGGTGAGCCCCCACCCACACAGCAGCCCGACGCCCTGACTCTCTGGACCATCAGGAGAACATTTCCCGAAACTGCCCACCTGTCCTCTGCAGTACCCACAGGTGCAGCAGTGCCTACGTACTGGACCAGGGCCTCCCCGAGCTGGGCCTGGCCCTTCCTTAGAGCTGCCCCCTCCACTACGAGATGTCCCTGCTCCCACATACCTGGGACCAAAGCACCCCAGTGTATACAGGGTGGGACCCCCTGGGGAGGCAGTCGGGCCAGCCAGCTGTAGGGGCCAGAGTCCAATGACTGGGCTCTTTTTTGAGGCAGCTTGGCCTATGCAACACCCTGGAGAAGGGCCTGAGGTTTCAGGGACCCTCACTAAAGAAATGACTGTGGCAAACTCAAAGAGATCTTCCAGCCAGACATGGCCGAGGGCTTTGTAAAAGTTTGGGAAAACATCCTGGGATTCTGGCCCAGCAGAGGCAGCTGGACAGAGCTGTGTCGGATTTGTCCCGGAGGGACCCCAGAGGAAGGACTGGGCCCCAGCATGTGTGCTCCAGGGGGGTGGGGGTGCCACTTCACAGTTTCTGGGCCCAGCCAGTCCCACTGCTGCCCAGTCCCCTGCCTTGGGTGGCTGTCTTGCCCTCTCTGGGCCTCGACTTCCCCATCCCACCTTGAGGTATTCCCCAGCACCCACCACTGGCTCCCAGGTAACTGGCTGCTGATTGGGCCTAGGTGTTAGGGCGTGGGGCCAACTAGGAAAGACCCGGGCGGTGCAGCACAGTGAGCCCCTCCTTCGTCCCCACAGGAGCCTGGATCCTGACCAGTGCCCTCCACGTGGGCCTGGCCCGGCATATCGGGCAGGCCGTGCGCGACCACTCGCTGGCCAGCACATCCACCAAGGCCCGTGTGGTTGCCGTCGGCATGGCCTCTCTGGGCCGCGTACTGCACCGCCGCATTCTGGAGGAGGCCCAGGTGCACATCCAGCTCGCAGCACCACGACTGCTGGGGGCCTGGAGGCAGGGGCTCAGAAGGGTTTGGGCAGCGGGCAGAGAGCTCTGGGAGGACAGGATTCGGGCTGGAGGAGGAGCAGGGATCGGACAGAGCAAGCACGCGGCCGGCAGGTGGCAGTACCGCATAGGGAACGGCCAGTGTGGAACGTGGCGAGGTCCCTCGCCTCCTCCTATACCACTGGGCCCAGGCCCCAAGCCCTGTCCAAGCCTGGACAAGCAACTTCCGTCCCCCATGCTGGGGTCTGTCTAAGGCACTGCCGAGGGAGGCCCAGGCTGCCCCTGGCGGATGTCTGGACACCAGCCCTAGAGTCGGGAAGGAGGAGCTTCCGGCAGCCCCGGCTGTCTCCATGGCTCTGTCTAAAAGAACCTGCTCCCCACCGCCCCTGCCCCTGACTGTCGAAGGAGGGTCCCCGGGCCCCAGCTGTTGGTCCCTCCTTTTGTCTGAAGGGTGGGGAAACCAAGGCTCAGGCAGAAGCCTTGTGCAGGGCCCCATAGTGTAGTGTGTATGGCCTGGCAGGGAGGATCCCGCAGCGGAACCCAGCCCAAGCTGCCTCCCGAGGGCTCAGCCTCGTCTCCCTGAATGGCCACAGGAGGATATTCCTGTCCACTACCCCGAGGATGACGGCAGCAGCCAGGGGCCTCTCTGTTCGCTGGACAGCAACCTCTCCCACTTCATCCTGGTGGAGCCAGGCCCCCCGGGGAAGGGCGATGGGCTGACGGAGCTGCGGCTCAGGCTGGAGAAGCACATCTCAGAGCAGAGGACAGGCTACGGGGGTGAGGCCCGCCCCAGCCACCCAGGAAAGCCGCCGGTGGCCAACTGCCTTGGGACCCAGTGGGGATCCAGGGACCCGCCTATGGGAGTGAGGGGGTGACCGCCAGGGAGAAGGAGGAGGGCTTCCCAGGCAGAACGCAGCCAGCATGCCTGGGCACCGAGACCTGGGCCGTGGGGGCCTGGGGGGAGGAGCTGTCTGGGCAGGGCGGTGCAGGAGGCACAGCTGGATAGAGTGGGTCTGGCTGGGCAGTGACATTCCCACCAGAGCAGGTGCAGTTCTGTTTTCACTGGGCCTTGCTGTGGTCAGAGGCTCTGGGGCGTGAGTTGAAAGAGGGCTACTTCCTGCCACCAGGCATGAGGTACGCTGCCACCAGAGGGCAGCGTCACCCGAGAAATGGGCACCTCTGGCCAGTCGCACTTTCAAAAGCTGGACTTACTAAGAAAATGCTAGTGTGTAAATAATATTCATAAACAAAGCATATAATTATTTATAACGTCTATGAACAATATACAATATTTAGAAACAAAAAATGGTTTTTTGTGGGCAGTTTTTGGGTGGGCAGTTTCGGGAAATGTTCTCCGGATGGCCCAGAGAGTCAGGGCGTCGGGCTGCCGTGTGGGGTGGGAGCGCTGCCCGTGCCGGGTGGGGTGGAGAGTCAGGGCCTCGGGCTGCCGTAATTTCTTGGCAAGGCCAACTGAGCCTTTTTTTTTTTTTTTTTTCTGGTAGAATCTCACTCAGTCCCCCAGGCTGGAGTGCAGTGGTGCAATCTCAGTTCACTGCAGCCTCCACCTACTGGGTTCCAGCAATTCTTCTGCCTCAGCCTCCTGGGTAGCTGGGATCATAGGCATGTGCCACCATGCCTGGCTTTTTTTTTTTTTTTTTTTTTTAAGTAGAGATGGGGTTGCACCATGTTGGCCAGGCTGGACTTGAACTCCTGACCTCAGGTGATCCGCCTGCTTTGGCCTCCCAAAGTGCTGAGATTACAGGCATGAGCCACTGTGCCCGGCCAACTGAGCACTCTTTAGAAATGAAAACACAAAATCTCATCAAACTCTGGGGACACAGGCAGAGGGTCCTGCTCTGCTCTGCGGAAGCCCTGCTGGCCCGGGCACCATTTGGCCAGGTCTGGTTTATCCTCCAGATTCAATCAGGAGGCATCTTTCAAAGTCAGGGCCCGCCTGGGAGTTCAGTTCCCTGTGGGCGATTCTAAGGCATCTCCAGTCAATTCGCTCCCTCACAGAAGACGAGGGCAGGTCCAGGACTCTCTGGGGGCTTCACATATAGAAGTCTCATTTGCAGCTTCTGTTTGCGGGAGAGACCTGAAGACTCCCTCCTTACCTCTTTGGTTTGCTGAGCGATCAGGAGCAGCCCGCCCAGCAGAGCTCCCTCGATGGTTGAGATGCTGCCTCTGCCACGCTCAGCATGAGTGTGTGTGGTGTGGCAGTGCACCTGCAGGGCTGGGGGCTCCGTTTCCTCCATGTCACTTTGTATTTTAACAGCCGTAGGCCAGCTCTTGCCACAAAGTCCGCGTGCTGGGCAGTGGGGGTTAGAACTGGAGCCCCCGGCCCCCGTACGGCAGGGGCTGTAATAAGCGGCCTGTGCCACATGGCCCAGACGAAGCCCTCACTTTATTCGGAAGAGCTAGCTTTGACCAGAAAATGTGGTGGCCTGAGAGCCTGAGATCCGGGTGGTCACCCCAGGCAGAGAGTCCTCAGGCCTCACGGGTACCCTGTCCACAGGCACTGGCAGCATCGAGATCCCTGTCCTCTGCTTGCTGGTCAATGGTGATCCCAGCACCTTGGAGGTAGGGGCCTGGCTGAGGCCCCCTGGCTGGCTGAAGCCTTGTGGAGGGGTTTGGTGGATTCTGGGCACCCCTGGGACGGGGCTGGAAGGGATGGGGGCCCCCCTGACACCTGCAGCCAGATGTCGCCGGGATGATCTGGGCTCCGCTCTCCCCTCCCTCCCCGTCTCAGAGGATCTCCAGGGCTGTGGAGCAGGCTGCCCCGTGGCTGATCCTGGCGGGCTCAGGGGGCATCGCCGATGTGCTCGCTGCCCTGGTGAACCAGCCCCACCTCCTGGTGCCCAGGGTGGCTGAGAAGCAGTTTAAGGAGAAGTTTCCCAGCGAGCATTTCTCTTGGGAGGACATCGTGCGCTGGACCAAGCTGGTATGCGCTTCCCCCTTCCCTGTCCTCCCAACCCTCCTCCCGGGGTGGGGCTGGTCCTCTGGGAGAGCCCCTGCTGATGCAGCCTCCAGCCCACTCCCCCCACCTCAGACTGCCGGTCCCCCCACCCGCTCTCGCTTCAGGCCCACAGGGAGCAGAGGGACCCAGGCAGCCCCTTGGTCTGCGGGTGGTCCCGGGCCGGGCCCAGTGGGTGGTGGGCATTCAGACTGCAAGGCTTACCTGGGGACACTGCCTGTGCCTCCGCTGGTGTCGACCACAGCCTGCCCCTGCCCCTGTCCTGGCTGAGGCGGCCCCATCGGGGCTCTGTTCTGGTGCCCAGCTGCAGAACATCACCTCACACCAGCACCTGCTCACCGTGTACGACTTTGAGCAGGAGGGCTCCGAGGAGCTGGACACAGTCATCCTGAAGGCGCTGGTGAAAGGTGAGGGCGGGCAGGGTGGGCACGGCAGGCACCATCAGGCGGCTTCATGCTCGGAGACACTCTGGGGTTTGGCAGCCTGGCCGTTTGGGACGCTCGCCCGCCTGTCCCTTCCCGGGAAAGATGACACGTGATTCATGCATCTCTCTGTATTTGGCAAGTTTTATGACATGTGTTTTTTACAGCTTAAAACTATACTTAAAGCTCTCAATTCAGTGGGGTTTTTTTAGTGGGGGGGAGGTTGTTTTTTGTTTGTTTTGGTTTTTGGTTTTTTGAGATGGAGTCTCGCACCGTCGCCCGGGCTGGAGTGCAGAGCTGCGATCTTGGCTCACTGCAACCTCCTCCTCCCGAGTTCTAGTGATTCTCCTGCCTCAACCTTCCAAGTAGCTGGGATTACAGGTGCTCGCCACCACACCCAGGTAATTTTTTGTATTTTTAGTAGAGATGGGGTTTCACTATGTTGGCCAGGCTGGTCTCAAACTCCTCACCTCGTGATCTGCCCGCCTGGACCTCCCAAAGTGCTGGGGTGACAGGCGTGAGCCACCACGCTGGCCAATTCAGTGGTTTTTAGTATATTTGTGAGGTGGGGCAACCATCACTGTTATCTAATTCCAGAAGCCTTCATCGCCCCAGAAGGAGCCCATACCCCTTGGCACTCACTCCCCATTTTCCCCCAGCCCCCGGGAACCATCGATCTGCTTCCTGTTTCTATGGATTTGCCGACGGGCGTTTCGTGTCCATGGCTCCCTGCAGGAGCGGGAGGGTTTCACAGTTCATCCGCGTTGCAGCGTATACCATTTCATGCTTCATTCCTTCTGTAAGGCGGAGTCAGGTTCCAGCCTGTGGACAGACTGTGGCTGATGCATCCGTTCACCCGCCGATGGAAAATTTTGATCAGCATTTGATGTGCTTTTTGTTGGAGACAAACACGTGCTGAAGGGCTGGCTGCTGGCAGGCAGACATAGCCCCAGCAGGGAGGGGCGCTGCTGAGCAGGGTCTGGGGACACCTTGAGTGAGGGGCCGCTCTAGGAAGGGTGTCTGGACTGCGGGTAGCTCGGGATTTAGCAACCTCACCAGGACAAGGAGGTCAATGGAGCCCCCCTGTTTAGGAACCTCCCTGTTTAGGAGCTCCCCCACCCCATTCTCATGAGTCTCAGTTTGGTCCCAGCGGCCTGAGAGAGGTACCGTAGTCTTATGGGGTCTATGACTGTGGAGGCTGAGGCTGGCGAGGATGGCGGTCTCCAGCAGATGCACCCGGCCCAGGTGCTGCAGACCTCCCTCGAGTGACCCTGGTGACCTCACCAAGTCATGGTCAAATGCCCTTGCCCGTGGAGGAAACATGGCCCAGCGTGCTACCCTGACAACATCCAGGAAGTGGCCTCAAGGCCCAGGTGTTAGCTGGGGTACCCCTGTTGCGGCCAAGGAAGGTGCCTCACATGGGAACAGATGGGCCATGCTGACACAGACCAGGGCAGTGCGCCTTCTCCTGGGGTTTGCATGAAGTCTTATGCCTCCTGCTGGTGCTCAGAAGTGGCACATGTGCCCCCTCAAGTCCCAGCGTGAAGTTCCCGTTTCCGCGTCTCTAGGCAGCCCACCTTCAGGGACCCTGTGCCCCAGCTCTGTCAGGCCCTCAGCTTCACCCTCGCCAGTGCCCGCCTGCTCTGCCCACAGCCTGCAAGAGCCACAGCCAGGAGCCTCAGGACTATCTGGATGAGCTCAAGCTGGCCGTGGCCTGGGACCACGTGGACATCGCCAAGAGTGAGATCTTCAATGGGGACGTGGAGTGGAAGGTGCCTCCCAGTCTGGCCCACCCGCCTCTATGGATTTGCCGACGGGCGTTTCGTGTCCATGGCTCCCTGCAGGAGCGGGAGGGTTTCACGGTTCATCCGCGTTGCACATTTCATCATTTCATGCTTCATTCCTTCTGTAAGGCGGAGTCAGGTTCCAGCCTGTGGACAGACTGTGGCTGATGCATCCGTTCACCCGCCGATGGAAAATT